CTAAAATAAAATGGTGCTATGACATCATATATATAGACCCATGTTGTGACACATATCGCAACCTCCCTCTGGTGACCTAATTTTGGGCCTTTTTGGTCCAACACATTTATCCTTTAATGTGTCACATATGTCTAAAGTCATATGGTACAATTCTTGATTCGTTTAGTCATGTAGGACCCAACTAAGTTCAATAACTTTAATTATTTAATTAAACTATTCCAATTAGTTTAATTTATTTAATAACGTAATTCATTAAGTCATTAAGTTGTCTTACAAGTATTGGTCTCAGTCAATCCTTGTTGTCAAATGTCGAGTCAACGGTTGACTTTGACCAAGGCATAAAATCTCTCTTTGGGAGAAGGAAAGTTTTATAAGAGCTAAGAGCATCCGCAATGGGCTCCCTAAATCACTTTCATAGACAAATTTTATGGAGAAATTGGAAAAATACAACTCCAACCATGCAGCCTCCTAAAATAAGGGGACTTCTAGGAGCTCCTAAATCTGAGGAGAGGGAAATGACTCCTAGTGGCTTCTTATAATATAATGCTACTTTATTTTATGCATATTTTAAACTTTTAATTAATGGTAACTATTTTTTAATATTATTTTGTATAGGGATGGACTAATTATATTAAATTAAAAAATAATTATAGTATTTATGACTCCATAAACTAAGGAGTATGGTTGGAGTTAAAATTTTATAGAGAGCTCCTAAGGAGACGTGCAGAGAAAGGAAGAAGGAGGGAAAAAACACATATAGACATTAAGTTAGGTTTTTTTTTCATTTTTAATTAGGACACGCGCCAACGGTAAAAAAAATTTGACCTCTGCTCGATGTCGTCAACTCGAAATTGGGTTTTTAATTAAAGGATGATGTGTCTAGTTTAAATCACTTAGATTAAATTTTAATGAAATTGCATGTGGAGGACGAAAGTCAAGCAGATCATGGCAGAGGAAATCATAGCAAAATATCCAAATTCGAATATAGATGGAGATGTGAATGATAGGGAGAGGTTACAATGAGGAGTTTAAAGTGAGGAGGCCAATCCCACCATCAAAATATTTAAAATATTTAAGTCCTATGATTTTGTTACATTTATTGATGATGAGATTGACCTCTTCAAATAGCCTCCTCACTTTAAACTTGTCACGCCCCAGATCCGGGGGTCGATGAAAACCCCGCGCCTAGTGCGTGAGAAAATAAAAAGTAAAATAAAATTAAAAAAAGCCGAAAACATGGGTTTAAAATAAACTTCTCTTATAAAAATAGCTCTAAAATCTTACAACTTTACAAGAAATAAATAAAGCTCTATCACTCTTATCTAATTCAGCCTCAATTGGTTTAGTTCTTATCTTACCCACTAATTCATCAGAAAAATTAGATAAAGTGAAGGATGAGCAACCACCGCTCAGTAAGGACATGAGACCTTACCATAAGAATTGATATAAATAAATGAAGTGACATACAATCACACTGCCAAATATCACATTAATAATAATAATGTATGAATGCTCTTCATCTACTCCCGTTAATTCATATAAGGGACAAACAGACCTACACGTCCCATACCATATTTATACTACTTGGTCTCGAATGCCCATTTAAATGAACTAACACCCATCTCATAATTCCCCTTTTGTTAGTCATCTTGCCTAACTCCCTGTTGCCAGTCCCAAATCAACCAATAAAAATCATGTGCATTGTGGGATCCCTGATATCTGGTACATGCCAAGAGTTAGACTCAACTACATAAAAGATCATTCACATTACCCTATTTCCCACCATTATTTTCTCAACACCGAAGAACTCTAAGTAATTATAATATTACGCATAATATAGTGCTCACGAAATTTAATTAAATCAATCTCTATAAAAGGCTCCCCAAGAGATCCCTACCTTGACACCAAAGCTTTTGCTATAAATGTAAGGTGTTTTCCCAATTTTCCACTACATCCACAAACTCAGCCTCCCACTCTTTTTCTTAACAATTCTTCTTCTCTCTAAATTTCTTTCTAATTTCTCATGTTTTGAAACTATAGGGTTATGCTCCTATTTATAGTGGTTATAGGGATATGATAAACTTTAATATTAAAAGGATAAGAACATTCAAATGTATCCAAAAGATAAATATCCTAACAAGATAAGATCATCCAAGTTTATCCAAAAAATAAATATCTTAAAAAGATAATATCGTCCAAGTTTATCCAAAAGATAAATATTTTCTTTTATCCTTTTAAAATACGGGTATTCACAAAACTCCTCATTATAGCCTCCCCCAATGAAGAACATACCTATTCACGATTTGGCCCATTAGAGCATCACCAAGGGAATAGGCAAAAGAGTAGGCAAACCTCATTTCCCTTACCACATTAGCATTTTCATGCTCCAAGGGTAGAGGCAAATGAGTGGACTAAGTATACATACCTTTCCTTACAAGGCAATATTGCATACTTCAAAGGGAAGAGATATATTAGGTCCCACTTACTTTTTATAATAAAATAACATCTCCACTGTTTCACATACTTTCTATAAAATATAATAGTAAATATAAAAGATAAAAATAAATAATATAATAATAGTTTGTAGACTTGAATTGCCTAGTTCCTTGGAGTGATAAATTTTTTTATGAGCCAAATGGATAGGCAGCATGCCATCTAAATTGTTATAGTACAATTTTGTCTATTTCATTTGCATACTCCCGTTGGAGATGCACCTAGAGCATCCACAATGGGGAGATGTATATGGGGGTGTATGTTAAATATACACCCATTGTCACTGGAATCGTCTCCAATGGGGAGATGTAAAAGGATGTAAATATACATCATCACCTTTGAGATGTAAAATAAAATGTACATTTACATATAATTTTACATCTTTTGCAGGCGGGACCCACTCGAGAAAAGAGAAGAAAAATGAAGAAAAGTCAGCATAAAAGGTTGGGACCCGCGGCTACAGTAATTGCTGGAAAAAAAATTCACATGCTGGGCAATTTTTTGGTTGTCATCCCCCCCCCCCCCCCCCCCCCCCCCCAACCAAATAGGTAGTTGCAACAACGAGTAGCTTTTTTTTTAATGAAGAATCAGGCAACAGCTTTTTTTATTTGTGAAGAATCAGGCCATGCAACAACTTTTTAAAGAATTAGCAGCTTTTTTTTTATGAAGAATCATCAGATTTTTTTTATTTATGAAGAATCAGTAGCTTTAATAGATGTACAACAAACACCTTTGAATTTTCAGAAACATGCCAACAATTCAAGGCAATAGCTTTAATTTTTCATGCATATGAAATCAGTAGGTCCAACGGCTGGTTGATCCAAGGCCAAGAAAGATTCAGATTTTCTATATATACCCACCTCTTTGTTTATAAAATCACAATTCTTCTTTACTCACAATTCTTCCTACTCTCAAACATTTGGTTTTTATTTATTTATTATTATTGTGCTTTCCTATTTTTTGTGATCATCAAAATGAGTGGAATTGGAGAGGGTTCAAAAAGAGCTAAATTGCCAAACTTTTCCACTGAGGAAGATGTTGCTCTATGCCATGCATTCCTAACAATTAGTGAAGATCCAATTATTGGAAACTACCAACAAGCTAATGCATTTTGGGCTAGGATTCAGAAACAACTCTTCTTGATTCTCTTTGGCTAGCGATTAAATGTACTTTACGATCCAACGATTCTTTTTGGATTAAATCATATCTTCTCCGAATTTAATATTTTTAGGTCCATTTGTTTGAAAAAATAAAATTAACCTAATACAAAAAAATTAATTTTATAAAATAAACACAAAATACAAATTTAACACAAAAACGAATTAAGACAAATAAAGCAATTATACATCTTGGATTTACATCTTTTTTCATTGGAGCAAAAAACGTATTTACACCCCCTGGAGGTGTAAAGAGGATGTAAAAGTGACTTTAAACCTCCGAATTTACACCCCCACTGTGCATGCTCTTAGTATCCCTATTTGTAGAGTCGATGGTTAATAGGAAATATTTTTTGGTTAGAAGTAAAAATTGAAACGTCTTCGTGTAAGTTTCCCGTAAAAAGTATACGCACCCTATTTTTAATTCTTTTCTCTCCTTCACGTTTCAAGCTACACGCAGACGCCGCCACCATCCCTCCTCTCACCTTCTCAATCTGATCGGTTTTTCCATTGAAGAAACCTGTGACTAAGACGACCTCTCCACTGAAGGTGAGTTCTTTCTGTTCCCCGTATAATCAATTTTATATATTGTTTTTTCCAGTCTCTAATTACATTTTTCTTGATATTGAATTTATGCTCTGCAACTTGCATCTATGTTTGCATTTTTTGTTGAACGATGTACTCACTATTTTTTGTAAAATTATTGAGTTCATTATATTCCTGTGCAATTTGAAGTGATTAAATTCATGTTTTGGGTACATAAAGCTCTGACCACAATGAAACACACATATGCATAGTGCTTAAAGCTGCTTTTGACTTCATTGAACTTTTGGTTCTATCAAGTCATAAGTGATTTTTTGTTTGGGATGTATCCGGGTGATAATCCCGGATACATCCCAAATGTGCAAAAAAATTTAGCATATATTGTTAACAATCATATTAAGAGATTATTGCCTTCAAAGCGTAATCCATTTTTGGTAGCCTGTAGTTGGCTTTTATTAGCGTTTGCTTTGATTAACAATGTGCTATGGACTTTCAGTGTATGTCTAATCCAATTTGAGGGGCTACTATATAGTTCTGATATTTTTCACAGATTCGGTTGTTGGAAAATGCCTTGAATTTATGATACTCTGTTGAGTTCTTTGCTCTGTTTTGGTGGATTTCCTCTTGCTTGTTAGAATGGTCTTTCAACATTTTTGCTTTCCTTTTCACCAACCCTCTTAAATGTCTGTCCTAGTAGACGTGCTTGCATTTTGTTTCTTCTTGTAGCAGCAAGTGAAATAGTTGTAGACTTTTAACAAAATAAAGAATTTACTTTCCTAGTTATTCCTTTTATTGTTTAGGTGACGAATGGAATCCACGATCAAGCATGCTGTGGTGGTGAAAGTTATGGGTCGGACTGGATCTCGAGGGCAGGTGACTCAAGTGAGAGTCAAGTTTCTGGATGATCAGAATCGTTTCATCATGAGGAATGTCAAAGGACCAGTGAGGGAGGGGGATATCCTTACCTTGCTCGAGTCTGAGAGGGAAGCCAGAAGATTGCGTTGATAGGAGATGGGTCTTCTTTGCTGATGTGTTTACATCTCAGCTTCGGTTAGTTGCAAACAACTGTTATTTATGCTACTGGTGAACTGCAGTTACGTTGCAAATCACTGTTCTTATATTTTTAGTTAATGTTTCTTGGTATTATTAGCATCATGAACTTGGTATATGGAACCTTTTAAACTTCTATTTCTGAAAATCCTTAGGTTTGGTTGAACATGTAAGCCCAATGCACATCATCTTGGCTAATAATTCAACAATATTTCCACTAAATGCGTAAAATGGAATGACACAGTTACAGAACTTATTCTCCTTTTCTCTTATCCAACTGGTTCCACTCTAGCTAAGACCTCGTTTGTTATCCTCTCTCTTGCGATTGATGCCTGCATATTTCCTTATAAGCTTTACTCAACATTTCAATTTGATTCAGAAATATTCTACAGCGTGCTGAACTCTGCAACTCTAGCTTTTAAGAGAACTAATAAAATTTCAGTTTTGGAGATGGAACCTGCTTTTCCCAATTTGTGAGACTTGTTTTCAGAGCTAGCAAGAGAGCTTGAACAGCAGACCCTGTCAGTAATCCGATCCAAAGCCCTTCTGCTCTTAAGTGTGCTAGAAAAGCCAGCACCACACCCACCGGAGTGCCAACGAGGTAATATGCACCAAGATTTACATATGCACCTATGTGCTGCCATCCAGTTCCTCTAGCAACCCCTAATTGAAATAAAAACAAACATTAAAGGTCTATTCGGAAGCGAAGATATCAGCCTCCTAGGTCCGTCTATGAGATTTAGGAGGCCCTGTATGAATATTGAAAATGAGGATAACAATCAGCCATGAGCCCTTCTCGGCTCTACTGCCTATTGTACGTCTTTTGTACATCTCAGCCTGGTGTGTTCCAAATTCCTAAAGGCACCAATTACCCTCTACAGAAGGATTGAAAGTGAGAGAAGTTTGGGAAACAAACCTGAAAGGACTGCTTGTAACCCATCCGTAACAATTGAGAGACTAATAAGAGGAGCCATATCTGCAATACGCTCCACAATCTCCTTGTCGCTGCTGAATGCATATCCTAGAATATGGCGGTAAGAGAAAAGAGCTGTGCTTACAACAATCATTTCCACCATTGCAAGAACCATGACAGCACAAACTGTGACTTTAGCAGCCTGAGGATTCCCAGCTCCTAACTCATTTGAAACCCGAGTGCTACGAAATTGGCAAAGTATTCTTTGAAAAAAATGTAGAAGAATATGAAGATTTTCTGTTGGTGTTTTCCAGGAACAGGTTAGGAGCAAACCTTGCTGTGGCTCCAAACGCATATGGTATGAAGTAGTGCAAGTATGTAATTGTAAAGCTGCTCACAGTGGAGATGGAAAAATCAGAAGCAAAATCTCCATAATGTATTGAACAAATTATACATGAAGGAAACATTACCATATAGAAAGCACTGAAGCCTCCAATTTTGGATTTGATAAAATCCCAGAAAGCAATATAAGCACCTCATAGGACCACCATTCAAGGCTACAAATGTGTAGCACGTCAAATAAAGAAAGACACAATAGAGATTAGACATTCATGATATAATCAATCTAATCAACAAACGATATTCACAATATGGGAACAGAACATTTCATTACATATATAGAGGAGCCTTCAAGCGCTAACCGGTTAATAAAATACAACACTAACCATTTGTTTGGGCCCACTACATAGCATCATATCATGTTCCGAATTTTAGGTTATCATTCAAGGATCACCATTGCAAAAAACAATTAGCTCAATTAGACACCATATAGTCATCTAACAGTAAATAAATAGATGAATATAATACTTTCTATAATTAATGACAAGATTCAAGATAATAATTAAATGGCTAAATGATTTTCGATTCGGCTAAACTTTTGCAAGGGTGATCTTGGAATGATGAACGATTTGAATTATAAGAAGACACTGTGGAGTGAGCCCAAACAAGTGATTAACGTCGTATTAACTTACGAACCAGTTAGCACTTGAGCACTCGTGTGTGCGTGTGTGTACAATAAGACTACAATCTTCTTAGAGTGAGGAAGAAAACAGAAAATGATTACCAAACCATTAAAGCTGAAGGAACAGCAAAGCGGAAGAACTCCTTAATGTTTAGAAAGACCTCAATTGAAAGCACATGTGCACGAGTCTTTTCACATGCTACAGAATACTTCATGTAAAACCCAAGTAAAAGCACATTAAACCAATAAGAGAAGCTTATAGCTAATGCTGCTCCAATACTTCCTAGTTTGAGTTTAAAGGTGAGACCCCAACAAAGAGGTACATGCAAACACAGAGCTGCACAAGAGCTATACAGCATTGGAAGAATCAAACTCTGTGTCTGGAAATATCGAACAAGCGATTGAAGTACGGCGTAGGAGAAGAGATTAGGGATGAGACAGAGTGAGTATTTGTGGGCTACATTTGAGATCAAAGGGTCTTGGCCTATCAATTGTAGGATTTTGTCTGTGAATATCCATAGTAGAGATATTGGGACACAGACCAAACAGAGACAAAGGATGGATGTGTAAGTGTAAATTCCAAGCTTTTGATATTGCTCTGCGCCATATGCTTGTCCACATAGAGTCTCCAATGCACCAACCAGACCAAACTGCAACATTTTTAAGGATCAATTACCATGAGGAATTAAATTAAGGTAACTTGGCAACTAAGTAAACAAGTCCCCCAAACGAAATTTATGATTTTAACAAGATGCTTGAGTTTCCTAGCTTTGAGTATAAACAAATTAAGTGTTTGGAAGAAGACCAAAAATCATGATTGAAGCTAGTTGTTTGAAATTGAAGGGAGACAAGACCTTAAAATATGAATAAGTTGCTTGGCTTGCAGTCAAAGGAGAAAAAGGGGAGAGAGGACATTACAAGAAGACTGAAGCCAGTAACATTGGTGAAAGAGGTGGCAATAGAGACCCCGGAAAGCGAGAGCTGATCAACATGTCCAACCATCATCACCGAAACAACCTGTATAAGGTACTGCATCACCGTGACAGCCACCATTGGCGCTGCTACGTAGCTCACCTTCCTAAGCTCTTTCAGGAACACCCTCCATTTCCCTCCCATTTCCTGCCTTAGCTCTGTCAAAGGCAATTGTGCATCTTCAATATTCATTCATAATCTCTAACTACTCCCATATTTTATAATAACAAAACACAAGAAAAGTCCAGAAAAAGAGAGGTGTACATATTTAGTGGTGGATTGTCTTTATTCGATTATCCTGTCGGATTGCATGGGAATAGTCATCTGTATATGGCCAAGCGTTCTTCCACTCTCTTGTAATTATTTTTATGTTTCTTTATTTTGTAAAAAGCTACCCCACAAGAATGCTACCAAAAATCTGACAAGAAAGTGGAGAATCTACCCAACAATAATCATAAGGGAAAACCAAATATATGCATTTTACAATTTATAAGTGAATTTTTTTGCTCCTTTTGTCCTTGTTTATTACTTAAGTTTACTGTTTGCAATGAAGTAATATAATGAAATTGATAATAAATAAGCAGGAGAAGGAAAATAAAATGTACTAATGTTTTTGCTCCTTTAAAAAGACATTGATAAAGATAGTCCTCATACATAATAAGGATGACTCATGCAATTCATGTCTATGTCAAAACAGTGGCAAAGCCATGATTTCACATTAGATAGAGAGCCTTCATAATTTTTTAAAAAATAATTAGAGATTTCTCGTTTTATTTAATGGTTCAAGCGCTAACTAGTTAATTAGTTAATACTACATTAATAACTACTCATTTTGGCCCACTTCATACTATCATTTCATATTGATTAATAATATATCCGTTCATTACAATTATATAATTGTTCTGAATTTTAAATTTAAAAATCATTGAAGATTAATCTCATCATCTACACTATTCAGACCGTAAAAAAAATACAAAAATTGTTCATAAATCCCAAAGTTAAACAAAAGATGAAGAGAGATTTTTTAAACATCACGAGGAAAAACAAGCTACAAGACAGAGAAACCAAAGCAAAAGCACAAAAGCCAACAATAACTAAATGCTACAAGGGGGATTAGATTATCCAGAGAAACAATTAACCCAAAACACCCGATTTGTGTATACATACACAAGTAAACACTGAGAAAGAAAAAAATTTGAGGGGGGACTGGGCCCACCTTGGTCCTTTGGTGGCTCCGCCCACAGTGTCAAAATGATCGTATTAACTTCTTCTTTTTTTCCCTTAAACTCACAAATACAGGACACCATGGGAGATACTTTTTATACAAGCAATATTTTGGTTTATTTTTTCGGGGTGGGGGGGAAGAGTGGGGGAAACTCGAAACCTCAATTGCACGAGTAAATGCTCTTAATCATGTAGATTTTACTACTTTCTTTTTTGGGTGAATATTTGGATACAATATTAGTTTTCATTTTTCCAAAATAAAACCTAAAAAAGGTGACCTGCTTTGTCTCAAGTATACGTATAATCAATAAACTAATTAGTTAAGGGATCATAAGTAGGAGTCCCATATGGACAAATGCTGCATATTCTCACACTCCCCCAACTCAACCTCCTCATCATGATACTCAACACACGACATGTCGTCCCCTAACAACGACAGACCCTCATGGCAATGAGCCCTGTACATGTACTGCATCCACAGCTTCGGCGAGTCCAATGGCGACTCGTTAATAGCCTGGATTTGACTCGGCGACAGCCCCACCGTCACAGGCATTGAGCTCAAGCCCCTGGGCGAGGACGAGCCACCCGCGGCCTCCGTCGAAACAGCCCCCATTCGCAGCCTCCTAACCCTCAATGCAGCCTCTTGAGCCGCCAATTGCACGTCCATCGGGCTAGAACTCGCCGGCCTTGGCAGGCTATCAACCAGTTCAGGAAAATTCAGCACCCCGCCACGTCCTCTCAGGTGCAATGCCGCCGCATCATAGGCAGCGGCGGCCATTTCTGGCTCTTCGTAGCTCCCGAGCCATATCCGAGTTTTCTTCCCTGGCTCGCGGATTTCAGACACCCATTTGCCCCATTTTCGCTTGCGAACGCCTCTGTATCGTGCCGAAGAAGGGAAGTGGTGGCAATCGGCAGCCGGTGGTTCCATTAACGATGGGGGGTTTAGTAAAATTTGTTGGATTTGTTTAGAGCTTTGATCCAAGGAAGAAATTTGAGTGTGATGAGTATGGATTTGGTGCTTCAGATATATACAAGTACGTTAGTATGTAAATGCGGTGATTATTAAAGCATTAGGGTGGGGGTTGCTGGAGCGAGGTTTCCAAGTAGTTACGTAAGTGGGAAGACGCTGTCAATTAGAGCATGTGCATATTAATTTTTTCTAATCAAATAATGCCACGTGATGATGTTCACAGAGTTTTTTTCTTCTTTTTTCCTGATGATGTTCACACAGTACATGTACTGTTGCTGTTGTTTTCACTTGTATGTATGGACATATTTTTATGTATGTGACATGTCATTCTTAGAAATGGTTGTTTTACAATCAGGACAGGGTATAAAATCTAGGTTATTCGAACTTATTAATAAACTAATAACTTATACATGTAATTGAGTAATTGTATGCATGATTTTTCTATAACGTGACATGCCGTTGTAGTTTTATTTTTCTAGTAAAATTGTAATGTGTACAGCGAGTGATATATGTTTATATAATGCTACTACATTTTGAGTGGTTCAATAACGCCACATCGACCTAACACATGGTACTATAATCATCATAACGAAAAAATTATTCGTTTGATTGAGAATATTTATGTTACTTGACTATCAATCAGAATTTGGTTATTCAAATCATAAAATGACACATCAAGGTGGTTTTAGATTAAGTCGCCAATTAATTTGAAGTCTTATTAATTAGAATGCTAATAATATAACTGAACTTGTTGGGTCTATTGTATGATGTTTTTCATACTATCAGTCAGCACTATAATTCACCATGTAAAATCATGCAAAGTTTGTATTTCAAAAAATAAACGCGACTCCACAAAAGTTTCGAACTTATTTAAATTTATTCGTAAAGTGAATTTAGCCCAATCTATTTTGAAATTATAACTCCACTCTTCATTAGTTTACTTAGTAGTCTCTTTGTGTCAATACACTTTTCTTTTTATATTTATTCGTTCGTTTATGCTTATTTCAAGACATTTTTGGATGGACAAAAGCTTTTTTAGTTTTTTTTAATTTTTTTAATTTTGAATTAACAGAGAAATAGTACACAATCATATGAGATATGAGTCTTTTGCATTTGATTCGGGACCAGAAAAACAGGTCAAAACTTTGCATGAGTGGACCTGTTGTGGGCACATCACAACACATGAAGTACACGAAATAGACTTGGTATGGAAACATAGACGCACACACGTGTATGCATATATATTTTTTGAGTGAATTAACACTTGTACCAACGACATAGAATAATACATGAAGCTAGAAATATATTATAAAACGTGGTTTGTAGGTCAAAGCCTTCACTGTTTTTAGTCATCTAGTTTCAAAAACAGCTGTCTCAAGCTAAGCTTGACTGCCAGCCAGCTGGTTGTCTCTTCTCTTCATATCCAATCCATGGAAAGAAATGACCCTTTGTCACCAACGACAACCTTGAAACATGCATGCAATGGGAGGAAAAAAAAACAAATTTCTTAGTTGACTGACTGAATCAGTCGCACCGCCCCTCACCGTACCCAAGTACGGTTTGCGCGTGAACAGGCAGATTCTGCTTGACCACAATATATCGCTAGCCAGCTGATAAGGAAGGCCTCTTTCTCTCTCTGTTTCTTTTTCTCTCTATCACATGATCCGTTCGACATTCTAATGGTGTATGACCAGATATATAGTACAGGTGGCAAGAGATGGACTATTTGGCAAAGTGGCTTTCGGCTAATGGCAGACCAATAAAGTTTGTCAATGGGGGTACTAATTTGTACCATGTGTTTGGGTTTACCATATGGGTAAGGAAGGAAGGAGGCACTAGGGGTTTATGTTGAGGGGTGAACAATGTACTGATGCGTTCAACCAACCCTGCCGTCAAATAGTTGTCCAATAATAACTCTATAATTGATCAGATAGCTATTCGAACCCCTCATTATAAATTTATAACTCCCTCTTTACAGTCTCTCTGAGGCACTAGCCTATCTCTTGAGCTGCAAGGTTACTCAGAAAGAGTCATTCTATAGTGAGGGTCTTATATACGGCTTTTAGGTGAGATCTTATCTCTTAATTGTTGCATCAAACTAACTAATTTGATTTAACTGCTAATCAATTTGATCAAACGATTAAGAGATAAGGCATCACCTAAGGGCCATATATAAGGCCCTCGCTATAGAATTCTTGTACTCATAAAACAAACTTCTCGGCATAATGGGCCATCGACATCCTTTTGGGCTTTTTGGCTGAATGAGCCATCTATCATTATCTTGTCACTAATAATAAGAGACCAAAATACATATTTATTAATAATACAGACTAACCCAATTTATTTATGCTAAATTTGCAGGACTAAACATCATCCAAAAGTTTACATAGATGAAATAAAAATTTCTTGTTGTCTTCTTTTATGGCTCTTTCTTTTTTCTTACTATGACCAAGGCAATAAAGCAGGAGAGGGAGTATGATCAACGCAGATATGTTTATTAGGTGTTAGATCATAAAAACACTCAATGCATTTCACTATTCATATGATGTAGAAAAGAACATACCATCTTCCCCTCTAATTGCTTCTTTCCATTTTCAAAAATGATGATTAAGAATTAATTTGAAACTAAATTACTTTCTGATAAATCCATGTAGTATGTGGACCAGGAGCTAAATATAATGGCATCAGCAGCTGAAATATGAGAGATTGGACAAGGCGCCACATCAAATATATGCAGACCAGGAGAGCAAGCTCATAAACGTCCGCAGCACAATTTTGTTCGCGATACAGTATCAGCGATGACCTTCGTTCTGTTTCATTTCTTAAGATTTTTCTCATCATTCATACGTTGTTTTTCCATCAAAATAGGTCTTAGATGAATGAAAAGATATGTTTCTCAGCTGTTAGATCATAAAACACTTAGAGATATATGCAAAGTGAGTCAGATGCATTTCAATACATCTCAGCCATTCATATATGACTTAACGAACATACACACACGACTTTTGAAAAATGGCTCTATGGGTAGCCACTATTTCACTGGACGATTCAAAAACTACTAAAGTAGGTGTTTCTCAAGAGTACAATTTACAAAGAAATGACACATAGGAAGTTTTGCAAATCATCAATACAATAGTAGATTAGGGCCCGTTTGTTACTCCTCTCTCCCATCCTCCCATCTCATCCTCTCTCTCAATCTCATCTTCACTTCCATTCTCGCTCTCATTTTCCTCTATACTCTAGCATAAAAAATGAAAACTAAAAACTAAAATTCAACAACTGATACTTTTTTCTTTCCTCATAAATCACAGTTAACCCATCATTCAGACCTTAATTTCAAGTTGCAATAAGATGTATACACTGGCCTTCGTTGCTTGCATTTGCTCTGCATCCTCAAGTGCGCGCAGCTTGAAAACCTTTGAGATTGCCAACGAATTGTTCAACTTCTTATGAAGGCAAGGTTCAAATCAAGCTCAGTAGACCTTCCAAATTCACCATGTCTCTGTCAAGTAGTTCTCAAGGCAGTGGTGAAAATAATCAAAATTTCAGTTATTGGAACTTCCGTAGGCTGACTTTTGATGGTTTACATCACTCTGTTTGCTTCAGCAGTCTCTGAAATGATGACACATACATAGTTGATCAATTAATTTGCTTCTTGCAATCATTTCTCCTAGACATTTTTCAATTCGGGAATTAAATTTTTTGAGCAACAACTAAAGCATGCAGATTAAACAAAACAAGAAACCTCGTGTGGCATAATAAGTAAATGAATTTATTAATACTAGCTAATTGAAAATTAACTCCAGAGATTTAACAAAACAAACATCAAAGCACCTTTTTTTTCGGGGATAAATGGGGGCCCAAGCCCAGTAACGAAAGGAATTCAACAGAAATTAATCAATCTAGACCTACTAAAGTAGGTAGTTCCTCAGAGTATATTTTACGAATTAATGACACAAAGAAAGTTTTGCAAATCATCAATACAACAGTAGATTAGTTATATATACCTTAAAATAAGGTGTTCACAAAATTTATGATGATAGTTGGAATTCATAGATAAGTATGTAAATAATTAAGAGATTGCTAGAGCTCAATTACCTGATAATGTGGATGTTTGGGTTCGTAGCAGAAATCTTGGCCCACCCTCCATTGCCTTCTTGGTAACGCTCTAAAAGTCTCTTAGATCCAGGGATGCAAAGAGTCTGCAGTGGTGTTTTGAAGAGGAAGTCTGGCAGTGCTTTTAGTAAAGGGCACCACTCCATTTGTAACTCAGAAAGGCATGGCATGATTGTAATTTCAGAATCCTCTTTCGTCCACTCTTCCACGCCTTCCCACTCTTCCCAATTCCACATGTCGTGAAAGTCGAGTTGTTTCAATTTTGGGAATAATACTTGGGGCGATCTGGTTCTGAATGAGGTTTGATCTTCTAATCCCAAAAATTCAACACCGACCTTTCTCACTCCTACCATCTCGAGTAGCGTCAGTGTTTCAAGGCACTCCAATTTCCCAAGAGGCCAAAGCTCAGACTGTGTCCCCCAAGCAACAGTAAGGAATCTCAAATTTTTTAAAGACTGAATCCAATTGGGCCACGTGGTGCCATTATGATGCAGAATGTTTAAAGATTCCAAATCTGGATGCGGTCGCAAGGCATTCAGTATTTCTACACTACTACTACTACTGTTCGTCTGCCTTTCAAAATCAACGGTGAGATGAAATAGCTTTTTGTCCCACAATTGTGCTTTCTCAACCTCGCTCTTATCTGTCGCATCCGCCACAAGTTGTATTGTGAGACGTCCCTCAAGGTTCAACTTTCTCAGATCCCCAATTTGGAATGCTTCATCGTTGTCGCCATCACACGGACACACATCTAGTGTTTGCAAACTTGTTAATCTCCCTATCCCTTTGGGCAGCGACTCTAGAACTTCACACCCGTAAACATAAAGATGCTTTAAGTTAATCAAGTTTCCCATGTTTTCAGGCAGTTTTTTAAGTTTAGAGCAACACACAAGTCGCAAGGTAGACAAATTGTACAAACCACAAATAGTGTCTGGTAATTTCTCCAAATAATTATTGTAAGACAAATCAATATGCCTCAAATGTATCAATTCACCAATCTCCTTTGGGAGTTCTTTCATGGAATTACGACTCAAATTTAATGTCCTAAGACATTTCAATTGTAAAATTAAATTTGAGTCTATTGTAGTAATTCTTGAATCAAAAGTTGCAAGCGTGCGAAGCTTTTGGCAATTGTTGGATGAGATAGCAAGTGGACCATCAAGAAAATATCTCAAGGTCAACTGACGAACCTTATCACCCAATAACTTTGATTCGCTAGTAGCACACTCTGTGTGATCCATAATCAAACACTCATTCTTGGTGAGAAATTGTACAAAGTCATGCACAATATCATGCATTTTGCACTGTATAATGGTACCAGTGTCTGGATCTTTCTCAAAATCTTGGAAAAATGATCGGGCCATTAAGTTGTCAAAAACTGCATCACCCGTTGTTCCCTTTTCTTTATTCCCTTTTGAAATAACATAGTCTTGTGCCATCCAAAGATTAATCAAATCATCTCGTTCAATCTCGTAATCTTTAGGAAAAATTGCACAATATAAAAGGCAACATTTAATTGTTGGGGACAAATCATAATAACTTAGTAATAAGGGTTGGAAAACTTCTTGCTCGACCTTCTCTAGATCCCATATCTTACTATTCAAAACTTCTTTCCATTCTCCCATTTTTGTCTTATTCTGCATGAGACTACCTAAAGTCTTTGCAGCAAGAGGCAAACCTTTACACTTCTTTACAATTTCCTTACTAATATCTCCAAACACCTTAGACTCGTGTCCATCCCTATCCGAAAAGGCCATGTGATTGAAGATTGACAGACAATATTCATAACTCAACCCTCCCAGATTGATCATGTTTCTTGTTGCTCTCATCATATTAGCAACCTCTAGTTTTCTTGTGGTCACCAATATTCTGCTGCCTTCAGCACCACTTTGGAATAATGGTACCTTTAATTGTTTCCACTTTTTGGGATCATCGGTCCATACATCATCCAAGACAAGGAGAAACCTTTTGCCCTGGATGGATCTAGACATACATTGCAAGACCTCATCCAATTCATTTGAACTTGGGGCGTCTTTACCAATAATGGCTTTGGCAATCTTAATCTCATCAAAAGGGTCTGACACACAAACCCATTTTCTGATCTCAAAATGAGATTTTACTCGGTCGTCATTATAGGCTAGTTGGGTCAGAGTTGTCTTTCCCATGCCTCCCATCCCTACAATAGGGATGATAAGGAGCCCCTTCCCTTCCGCACTACTATCACTCAACAAGTTTGTTATCAAATCCTTTTTTTCATTTTCTCGACCAAATATCTCAGATATATCGACAAAAGATGCAGTTTGAGGTCGTTGTGGTTGTTGAGGTTGTTGAATGCCTAATTCTTTGCTTTGAAACTGGTACTTTTTTCTTTCCTCATAAACCTCAGTTAACTTATCATTCAGATCTTTATTTTCAGAGCAATGTCACGGTGAAAAATCACCCGACTGACGTTGCCAAAACAAAAGCAACGGGAGAAACTAGAGAAACGTACCTTCTTCTTTGTAACAAAAGCATTTGGATCACCTTCGCTTTCTTGCTTCTCAACTTGTTGTTTGAGAATGTCTGTGTTCCACTCATCCAGCACATCCACCATCTGGTAGGATATATCTTTGAGCTCATCCAACCAGATTTTGACAGCTTGATCCGTCACTTGGCGTTGCTCTGCATCCTCAAGCACAGCTCGAATTACTCGGAGAGTCCGAGTGAATTTCTCAACATCTTCCTTAACGTTCAAAACATGTTTCAACTCTCCTTCCACGTATTCATAGGTTATCGAGACCAACCGTTCTAGCAGCACGGAAATGAGAGCATCAGCCATTGTTTTTAGCTTTAGAAATTGGTTGAGAGCAGTGTTTAGGAACAAGAACTGATTGCAGGATGATTGCAGTAAATCTTCAAGGCAAACTCCAAGTCAATTATATGATATATGTATAGATATAGATAATGAATAACAAATTTCAAGTGGCATTTATCTTAAAGGCTTAATTCCAATGGTGTGGGGGCTCTGGTGGGGGATGGAGGAGGATTGTTGGGGTTGATGTCTAAATTTTGTTTTCGGTAACTAGATTTTGTGAAAACAACTTAAAAATAGAATGAGATAATGGAAGTCAGAATCACATGAGAGATAATCGTAATGGCAGAATCTGAAAAAGACAATGAAGTAGTGCGCTGGAAATTAATTGGAGTTGAACAACTTTGAAGAAGCTAGAACCACAGAGACTGCTTAAAGGATCTGTTACACGAATCTTTATCCCAAAAGTTAAAGGAGGCTTATCTGTAGTGGAGGGGCAGGTTCTGCCTTTCATGATTTCAAGAGCCATTATCTTTTGACTAATTTTCCACTTTTGTAAGCAAAATACACCACACAGACCGAAATTAAAGATGGGCATCAGTGACACTTGCACTTTTCCAATGGTCCAACAAGTTGATGTATCTAACCGTCCAAAAAGTAATAATTCATCAAATTTCTTACATCAATAATTTAGAATTTTCTTTTTTGGTCGAACCAATAATTGAGATTATACAACCCAACTTAATCTTAGGATGGATTCCTAAAGTGCGCAAGGCGCACTGATGCGCCACTTATTATAGACCATTGGATGTGTAGTTGGGGTATGTGGGTAATCCAAAGCGTTGATTGTTAGTTACCTGTTAAATGGTTGCTCTAGGTAAAATAATTTAAAAAAAAAGACAAAATACTTGCTCTCTCAGTTAGAGACATTTCAAGTCGACTGTTAGGGTTGGGTTTCTCATTTCTTTCTCTTCGAGTTCGATTCCTTCCACAGCAGCTCCTCTCCTCCTTTTGTGACGACGAGACGATGCCGGCGACCACATCTCCTCTCCTCTCCTCTCAAGTAGGTCATGCTCTCCTTTCTAGGGCTTTTGATCTGTGTATCTTCCTTGTTGCTGCTGCTTCATCGCTGGGTTCTTTGTTTTTTTTTATATTTAGGTTTTCACAGTTATGATTTCTCTCTCACTCTCATATGGATCTCTGTGGCTGGCTTTCTCTCAACCTCTCTATGGCAGGTAAGAACTCTAGTTTTCTCCCTCTCTTTCTAATTGTGCGATTTAGATGGTTCACATCATTGCAGAAAGTATTTCTGACAGGACCCACCCCGAAATTCCTCAGAAACGCGGACAGATCCCATCTTGTTACTGACATCACCCCGATGCCGGGCCCACTTACTAAAAACCGAGACATTCTACCAAAATTTTAGCAGAATCTCCCCTGTAAAATGCGCAAACCCAACAAAATTCAACTTGCATAATATACATAATATAATCCCAACCAGCAGCATGCTTTCAACATTCAACAGTACACAGTAAATGGCCTCCGGCCTCAAGTAAAAATCTAACATGGGCAATAATAGAGCATCTATAGATTTGGATTACGACAACAACCAGTTGAGTAAAAGAAATTACTCGAATCCTAATCTACGGATGTAAACGGTTTGGCCTCGAACACAGCTTGCCACCTTCCTGGAGCAACTACTATCTGGGGGGCGCAAAACAGAAAACATGTTAGTGGACAAAAACAAGGTTTGCATTTAAAACAACATAATAACCCCACCGTGTAAAAATAATGCCCAAAGCATGCAGATTCACAATTCATAATCAAAAGCTCAAAAACATTTTTCTCGAAAACCCATTGAACCCAAAAATCACTCGAACCACAAACTTCATTCCCAAAATTATATTGTTCTTACCAACCCACTACATGTACTCTACTTGCTTTACACTCACACCTATATATATATATATAAATATATAATCTATTTGAAAATATTTTCACTTTCAAGTTTTTGTTTTCACTTTTCTTACTTCTCGTTCTCCTCATCTTCTCAATCTCATCTTCACTCCTATTTTCATTCTAATTTTCCTCTATATTCTAAAACTAAAAATGAAAAATGAAATAGCTATCAAACGGGCCCTCAAATGAAATTTGATGAAAATTATAATATACATCAAAGTATCGGTACATCAACTTGTTGGACGGTTAGATTTGAATTATTTGATCCGATGGTCCAGAATAAATTGAAAAAAAACCAATAAAAGCACCTAAAAAACTGGGAAACCGGTAGTTGTGGGTTGCTTTTCACACGTGACTACATCAGTGATTTTCTAATTACTCCATCTCGATCCTCCATCTCCCTTCCCATCGCCCAACGCCCCTCCCAATCACCCATGTCCGGCGAACGCGATCCTCCCCCTCCCTTCCTATCGGACATAGCCACAACAGCCAACCCTTATCTCCTCTAGCCCGTGAAATCTCTCAGCCCAGCTTCTCTCTCTTCTCCACGCAGCCCAGCCCCAGCCCCAGCCCCAGCCCCTTTCCCTCCTCCACTGAAATCTCTCCGCCCCTCTCTGTTCCTCTCTATTTCATCTGGGTTCGGTGTGCTCCCTGCCTTAAACATCTCTATTTCATATAAAAAACATAAGCAAAGGCCACGTTACAGATTTCTTACTTTTTAAACCTAATGTGATGAAGAAACTGATATCTGCTAAATTCATAATCATAAAATGCTAATTAATAAGAAATTACAAGTTGGAATTTTGTTTGTTTGTTTGAGTTATCTGGAAAAGAAGAAGAGGGTGAAAGATGAAGAGAGAGAACTAGGCAAAAAAAAAGTGACCAAATTGACAAACATCAAACTCAGTAGCAGTTTTCTATTCAACAACCCGTTGGAAATTGCAGTGGTACATGGTTTCTCTCAATTCTGCCCCGGCCGTACTGCTTGTTTTCTTTCTTCAGTTCTTTCTCTCAATTTCATGTTCTTGTGTCAACAGCCACTTGAAAGGAAGCTGAAGAAGTTCAACCCATTGGTGATTCCTAAGTCATTGCAGGCTGCTTTGCCATTGGCATCAAAGCCTAAGGATATACCCAGTGGAGGAAGGCCACTTCCTGAAAATAGAAGAGCTGTTGTCATGGAACCTCATGAACGGAAAGTTCATGCTCTTGTTCAACATCTTCGATTAATTAGAAATGAGAAGATATGCACCTTAAGACAATTATTGTGTTTGAACCGTCGTGCCAAGTGCATAATTGATCGTTAAATTTGTTGGAGAGCCAAATTGGTTAAGTAACTAATGCACAGCCACACTTAGAGAGACCACACACTGGCAGAGGCACTCCAACAAGATTAATTTACCTTCCAAGATCTTGATGGAGGACTTTTTCTATGCTTACAAATTAACTTTGTTTGGCAATCGGTCGCTGGTTGGAAATGTTTGTTTGAATAGCCGCGGTAAATTTACATTGGGGGAGGATTGCTTTTGAGTTTTGACACATGGAACTTGCATAAACACCTTTGAGGCAAACCTCAGACTCTTTTGGAGTGTGACACCAATTTCAATTTATATTTATTTATACTTTTTCTGGGGAAAACTTGTAGGGCTAATCTAGAGTGCATTCATGCTATGAGAACCTTATTTGTCTTTTTTGTTATGTTGCCCTTACACCAGAGCGCATACACAGCTGGTATTTTATGGTGTGACAATATTATGCCAGAGAGTGTCCCTTATCATCAACCTATTATTTTTTAAAGTATTTTAACTTCACTTTGGCTCTTGCAGATAAAGAAGCGCAAGCTAAAGGATGATAAAAAAAGGAAAGAAATTGAAGTGCAGAAAGCCAAAGAAGAGCAATTGTCGAAAAAGCGCCAGAGAGAAGAACGACGAGAGAGATATCGGGAGCAAGACAAACTGAAGAAAAAAAATCAGGAGAAATGCAGAGGACTGATGGATGCACAAACTTTTGCCAACTGTTTCTGTGCTTGAGTTAACTAGGTCAGTGTGCTGCCGGAAAAGAAAACGCGGTAGATACTCTAGGATTTGATACTCTCACAGAAACATGACCTCAGGGATTGCTGAGATCAAAACGACTTGTGGGAATTGTCAATATGCAATTTGTATTCATAACGTTCAACGTGCATCATATGTTCATTCTTTGGCATCCGAGTACGTGGTTTTTTAGGTACATTGGATTGGATGAGACCATGAAATTAAAATGTCATTTTATATCGTAGGGTTCAAATAGCTACATTTATAGAAAGCTTTGATGCAATTAAATACAATACATGTTAGACCTCATCTACTTTTATTCTCATCAGCTGGTCTAGTAGACCTTCCAAATTCACCATGTCTCTGTCAAGTAGTTCTCAAGGCAGTGGTGAAAGTAATCAAAATTTCAGTTATTGGAACTTCCGTAGGCTGACTTTTGATGGTTTACATCACTCTGTTTGCTTCAGCAGTCTCTGAAATGATGACACATACATAGTTGATCAATTAATTTGCTTCTTGCAATCATTTCTCCTAGACATTTTTCAATTCGGGAATTAAATTTTTTGAGCAACAACTAAAGCATGCAGATTAAACAAAACAAGAAACCTCGTGTGGCATAACAAGTAAATGATAATTTATTAATACTAGCTAATTGAAAATTAACTCCAGAGATTTAACAAAACAAACATCAAAGCACCTTTCTTACTCATTTGAAAAATCCTCAGAGTATAAATGTGAACAATTACTTATAGTTTTAGTAGGAAGAAAAATACCTAGTGAGTCACCATCTCAAGATTATAAATGTGCCTAGCGAGTCAACATCATCTGTATCTGAAGATTTTGAAGGAAACAAATATGATGATAGTTGGAATTCATAGATAAGTATGTAAATAATTAAGAGATTGCTAGAGCTCAATTACCTGATAATGTGGATGTTTGGGTTCGTAGCAGAAATCTTGGCCCACCCTCCATTGCCTTCTTGGTAACGCTCTAAAAGTCTCTTAGATCCAGGGATGCAAAGAGTCTGCAGTGGTGTTTTGAAGAGGAAGTCTGGCAGTGCTTTTAGTAAAGGGCACCATTCCATTTCTAACTTAGAAAGGCATGGCATGATTGTAATTTTAGAATCCTCTTTCGTCCACTCTTCCACCCCTTCCCACTCTTCCCAATTCCACATTTGGTGAAAGTTGAGTTGTTTCAATTTTGGGAATGATATCTGGGGTGATCTGATTCTGAATGAGGTTTGATCTTCTAATCCCAAAAATTCAACACCGACCTTTCTCACTCCTTTCATCTCGTATATGGTCAGTCTTTCAAGGCACTCCAATTTCCCAAGAGGCCAAAGTTCACACTGTGTCCCCTCACAAACACAAAGGAATCTCAAATTGTGTAAAGACTGCATCCAATTGGGCCACGTGGTGCCATTATGATACCAAATCCCTAAAGATTCCAAATCTGGGTGCGGTCGTGAGGCATTCAGTATTTCTACACTACTACTATTACTGTTCGTCTGCCATTCAAAAGCAACAGCGAGATGAAATAGCTTTTTGTCCCACAATTGTGCTTTCTCAACCTCTCTCTTATCTGTCGCATCCCCCACAAGGCATATTGCGAGACTTCCCTCAAGGTTCAACATTCTCAGATCCCCAATTTGGAATGCTTCATCCTTGTCGCCACCACACCGACACACATCTAGTGTTTGCAAACTTGTTAATCTCCCTATTCCTTTCGGCAACGACTCTAGATCATCACACCCCTTAACATAAAGATGCTTTAAGTTAATCAAGTTTCCAATGTTTTCAGGCAGTTTTTTAAGTTTAGAGCACCACGTAAGGCGCAAGGTTGACAAATTGTACAAACCACAAATAGTGTCTGGTAATTTCTCCAGTATACAATTGAAAGACAAATCAATATGCCTCAAATGTTTCAATTCACCAATCTCCTCTGGGAGTTCTTTGATGGAATTACCACTCAAATTTAATGTCCTAAGACATTTCAATTGTAAAATTAAATTTGAGTCTATTGTAGTAATTCTTGAATCAAAAGTTGCAAGCGTGCGAAGCTTTTGGCAATTGTTGGATAAGATAGCAAGTGGACCATCAAGAAAATATCTCAAGGTCAAATGACGAACCTTATCACCCAATAACTTTGATTCGCTAGTAGCACACTCTGTGTGATCCATAATCAAACACTCATTCTTGGTGAGAAATTGCACAAAGTCGTGCACAATATCATGCATTTTGCAACTTGTAATTGTACCAGTGTTCCGATTTTTCTCAAAATCTTGGAAAAATGATCGGTCCACTAAGTTGTCAAAAACTGCATCACCCGTTATTTCCTTTTCTTTATTCCCTTTCGAAATAACATAGTCTTGTGCCATCCAAAGTTTAATCAAATCATTTCGTTTAAACTGGTAATCTTTAGGAAAAATAGCACAATATAAAAGGCAACATTTAATTGTTGGGGACAAATCATAATAACTTAGGAATAAGGGTTGGAAAACTTCTTGCTCGACCTTCTCTAGATCCCATATCTTACTATTCAAAACTTCTTTCCATTCTCTTTTCGTTCTCTTATTCTGCATGAGACTACCTAAAGTCTTTGCAGCAAGAGGCAAACCTTTACACTTCTTTACAATTTTCTTACTAATATCTTCAAATGCCTTAGACTCATCTACATCCCCATCAGGAAAGGCCATATGATTGAAGATTGCCAAACAATATTCATCACTCAACCCTTCCAGATTGATCATGTTTGGTGTTGCTCTCATCATATTAGCAACCTCTATTTTTCTTGTGGTGACCAATATTATGCTGCCTTTAGCACCGTTTTGCATTAGTGGTACCTTTAAAAGCTCCCACTTTTGACGGTTTTCAGTCCACACGTCATCCAGGACAAGAAGAAACCTTTTGCCCTGGATGGATTCAGACATACGTTGCAAGACATAATCCAGCTGATTTGAACTCGTGGCGCAATCGCCACTAATATCTTTGGCAATCTTAATCTCATCAAAAGGGTCTGACACACAAACCCATTTTCTGATCTCAAAATGGGCTTTCACATGGTCATCATTATAGGCTAGTTGGGTCAAAGTGGTCTTTCCCATGCCTCCCATCCCTACAATAGGGATGATAAGGAGCCCCTTCCCTTCCGCACTACTATCACTCAACAAGTTTGTTATCAAAACCTTTTTTTCATTTTCTCGACCAAATATCTCAGATATATCGACAAAAGATGCAGTTTGAGGTCGTTGAGGTTGTTGAGGTTGTTGAATGCCTAATCTTTGCTTAGAAACTGGTACTTTTTTCTTTCCTCATAAATCTCAGTTAATTATCATTCGATCTTTTATTTTCAGAGCAATGTCACGGCCAAGAATCACCGGACTGACTTTGCCAAAGAAAAGAAATCAGAGAAACGTACCTTCTTATTGGGGGGAACAAGAGCATTTTGGTTCTCTTTCTTGCTTCTCAACTTGTTGTTTGAGAATGTATGTGTTCCACTCATCCAGCACATCCACCATCTGGTAGGATATATCTTTGAGCTCATCCAACCAGATTTTGACAGCTTGATCCGTCAATTGGCGTTGCTCTGCATCCTCAAGCACAGCTTGAATAACTCGGAGAGTCCGAGTGAATTTGTCAACATCTTCCTTAACGTTCAAAACATGTTTCACCCCTCCTCCTATGTATTCATAGGTTGTCGAGGCCAACCGTTCTAGCAGCAAGGAAATGAGCGCATGAGCCATTATTTTGAGCTTTAGAAAATGGTTGACAGCAGTGTTTATGAACAAGAACTGATTGGAGGATGATTGTTTGTGTTGTGGTGTTCCCTTTCTTCTGCCCCAGTTTATATGCTGAGTAAGTCTTCAAGGCAAACTCCAAGTCAATTTTAAGATGCATAACAGGGACACTATATTTTAAAGTGACAAGTTGACATTGATCGAGTTTTTTATATATAAACTTTTTCCCTATACATGAAGCATTACCAAGATGGTGCATAAATCTCCAACAAGGAAACCATGGCCAAAGAGTGGGCTAGTATATTATACGTACTTTTCTTATTTGGTTATGCCAACTTTTAAATCAAGTTTATGTTTACTGTTGTCTAGAGAGATGGTAGGAAATCTTAGGTTAACGATCCCTTTAATCTCCAGATCAACTCAACTGCTCCATTTATATAAATAATGTATCCGAATTTCCAACTCCAAGCCAATCACTATTCACTAGAGTAAAGCCGCCTTTGTTTACCGGTGACAACCATTTTTTTGTCCGCCTCTAGATGGAGGTATGATGCGTATTACTTAAATTTGGTTCTATTGACTATGGGGATTATTTACTAATTCTAAGTATTAAAATCAAAGATCAAGGTAATAACGTACGAAATTCGGAAAAGTGACTTATGAATTGTTTTCAGAAAGTGAATTTCGGTTCTACATTTGTTCTTTGTGCCTCCAATTTTTAGGGCCCCCAATTTTATTTTAACGTATATTAATATGTTAAATATTGTATATATAAAACCCGCGCAGGACGTTACACAAGGATGGGCTTAGCAGCCTTGGTTTGCTGCACTTTAACTTCTACTTTTGGCGTGGGTTCCAGGCACTTGTGTACATCAATTATTACAGTTTTTACTTTGTTTTTATGTTTTTTTTTCTCTATTGTAACAGCAACAATAAAAGAAATAGAAATTCCATTCGGCAAGTAATGCCAATCTATTGCTTGGGAGTCTCCTCCTTCTTAAACTCTATTTCAACTAAGTAATAATCATTATCAATCTATTGCTTTGGCTCTTTTTTTCAATCCTTTAATTTTATTTTTTTTCCAATATCAAGGATTTCAATATCAAAAATCGAAAAACCTAACTCCATTAATTATTCATTAATCAAAAAGAGGGGGGGCCAGGCAAGGGGGAGGAAAAAAAAAAAAAAAAAAAAAAAAAAACAAAAAAAAGATACTTAGTCATACCCATTTTTAGCACTAAAACTATAAATAAATCCTACACTATTTAATTTCTATAAACAAAAACAAAAAACAAAAACCCAAAAAAATGACAATTGGCCCTATTGAATTTAATTTTGATTATTAAATTACTTTGATACCCTTCTTCTAGCCCGTTTCTATAGCAAGTAAGTCATCAAGGAAAACTCCAACTCAACTGCTCCACCAAAAGAAAAGTATCCAAGCCATTGATATAAATAATGTATCCGAATTTCCAACTCTAAGCCAACCACTAGAGTAAGCCGCCTTGTTTACCGGTGGCAACCATTTCTTTGTCCGCCTCTAGATGGAGGTGTGATGCGTATTACTTAATTTAATTCTATTGACTATGGGGATTTATTTACTAATTCTAAGTATTAAAATCAAGGATCAAGGTATTACATATGAAATTTCGGAAAGTGATTTACGAATTCGTTTTCAGAAAGTGAATTGTAATTGATTGCCGTAGATCCACAAATGCTTTTTGAGTGTTTGGGCTTTTGACCTGAGTAATATTTCATAAATTTTTTAAAAAAAACATAAAAAGGACACGTTACAGATTTCTTACTTTTTATCTACCCTATTTCCGATCTCAGTTGGGTAGATTTAAACCTAATGTGATGAAGAAACTGATATCTGCTAAATTCAACAATCATAAAATGCTAATTAATAAGAAATTCCAAGTTGGAATTTTTGTGGTTGTTTGAGTTATCTGGAAAAAGAAGAAGAGGGTGAAAGATGAAGAGAGAGAACTAGCAAAAAATAAGTGACCAAATTGACAAACGTCAAATTCAGTAGCAGATATCTATTCAACAACCCGTTGGAAATTTCAGAGGGGCTTGGCAATAGGCTATCAAATTCGTTTGATCAGAGAGAGAAAGAGAGAGAGAGAGCGAGAGCGAGGGCGAGTCACCAGAAACTTCTTTCTTCACGTTGAAACCAAGTTACCTCTTCTTTTATGAATTGCTTGTTTAAGGCAAGGTTAACGATATTAACGACACATACCAAACCAAAGTTACCGAAGGCAAACAAAACACACCTTCTAGAGGAACAGCAAAAACTGGGAACTGATACACAATAAAATAAGAGAAGGCCAAAGTAAATTCACCAGTCCTCAGAGTGTCTTTTACGAATTAATGACACAAAGGAAGTTTTGCAAATGATCAATACACCATTAGAGCATCTCCACCCCAAAGGGCTAAGGCTAAGGCAAGGGCTGCCACTATTCAGGTGTTCATGAAGTTTCTGCTTACAAAACAAAAAATAAGGGTAGACCTTTGACATTCATCATGTCTCTGTCAAGTTCTCAAGGCTGACTTTTCATGAAAATTATCAAAATTCAGTTATTGGAACTTCCGTAGACTGACTTGATGCTTTACACCACTCCGTTCGCTTCCATAGAGTCCCTGAAATGATGAACGGTATTATAATGAAGGAAAGAGTAGAAAACTGCTTGTCCAGTTACAGAGAGAGCCTCACACTTTTAGGCTCCCAAAATGTACTTGGTATTCTTTCAAGTATCTAAAACAACAACTGTTACTTTTTGTACAAAACATAAAAAGGAAAAGTAGTACCTTTCATACTCTTCATAGAAAAATGATATATGCGAACAATTAGTAGGAAGAAAAATACCTAGCGAGTCACCATCTCAAGATTATATATGCTACGGAGGACAGATGTTTTCATCAATGTGCCAAGCAATTCACCCATGCCCTGAAGATTTTGAAGGAAACAAATATGATGATAGTTGGAATGATACATATGTATGTAAATAAGAGATTGCTAGAGCTCAATTACCTGATAATGCGGATGTCTGGGTTCGTAGCAGAAATCTTGGCCCACTCTCCATTGCCTTCTTGGTACCGCTCTAAAAGTCTCTCAGATCCAGTGATGCGAAGAGTCTGCAGTGGTGTTTGAAGACGAAGTCTGGCAGTGCTTTTAGCATCCGCAGAAGTGAATTTCTAACTCAGAAAGGCATGGCATGATTGTAATTTCAGAATCCTCTTTCGTCCACTCTTCCACGCCTTCCCACTCTTCCCAATTCGACATGAGGCCAAACCAGAGTTGTTTCAATTTTGGGGAATAATATTTGGGGTGATCTGATTCTTAATGAGGTACTACAAGAAAACAGGTCTTCTGTGAAGACGAGTAGTCGTCACTTAAACATGTAAATTCGTCACAGTTGACAATATGTGACGTATTTTCGGCGTCACAAGGTTCGTCACCTATACCCCGTCACAAATTGTTTGACGTGACGAATTTACGATTCGTCACATACGGGTTCTATATGTGACGAATGTTTTGTCACATATAGTACCTTTGCACAAGGCATCTTTCGTCACTTATTGTATCTATCGGTGACAAGCCACATTGGTCACATTTCACAAGCGTCAGTGGGGAGTTGTTCCTCACATATTTATGAAAATTGTGGGGAGTTGTTCCTCATATATTTATGAAAATTGTGACAGTGTACGTCTCACATATAATCTGACCAGCATTCAATTCAATTAAATTCAACTCGATTACTATCATTCCCCTTATATTCTTTTCTTGTATAATATAGCAAAAATACATTCAAGATCCCCAAAGTTTCACAAGTAAATTGAACTCAAATTTCATTCCATTACACCAAAATAATTACGTTGTTTGATATACAATAGTCTCAACTACATGTTTTTTTCTTCTCATAACTACAATGTAATTTTTCTACAACTGAAAGTAATGTTGTCCCAAGATGAAAAAGAGTTGAACCAAATTGCAAACGATCCTCAACGACAACCAAAAAGAATGGATCTTTTTGGTTCAACTGTCATAAAAAAGAAAAAAATGGTCATAAAAATGGATATAGAAGATATAAAAGGGCAAATTACCATTGAGAAGACAAACAGAATAAGTTTGATGTCTAAGATGTGACCATGGTGAGGAAAATAAAGGATGAAAAACAGAATCCATCAAAGGATTAAATGTCAAGAAGCATGAAAAAAAAAAAATCACACTCCTAAAATGAAGGTGTACATACAAAGCATAAAAAGCTACAAAAGAATCTTTCATGTGGTAATATAGCAAAAATATGGCCTCCATATAACAAAAGATGTATCCCTCTTTGTATGAAGAGGATCTTTCTTCCTTCCCACTTCTTTGTATTCTCAGCCATGTCTTTCAACATTCCATAAGCAGCTTTGCCACTATAAAAAAGGAATGACATCAAAATCAGTGATCCCATTATTCGGCAGAAGAGAAAAGCCACAGAGAGAGAGAGAGAGAGAGAGAGAGAGAGAGAGAGAGAGAGAGAGAGATGCAGATCATACTTCAGAATTAACTATGAATAATTTGATCTCCACTTATGCCTGAAAATGAAAATAGCTAGCTAGCTAGGACTCAAAATGGCTAATTCAATCATTCTCTGAATACAAATTTGAGCCCAGACTTTGGTGTCTCTATCTCTTCTCTAAAAAAATGAACCAAAACTGTTACAAAAGGGGAAATGGATGAAAAGATAATGCAATTAGCATTATCTAAAATTACAAGTATGGAACTGACAAGCCCTCACTTGTAGACTTTAAATAACTCCTACCTTGTCAGAAGAGAAGGATCCTTCTTTTCTGGTCGTGGCCTGATGATCTTGCAGCTAATCAGCGCCAACTACACCAACTCTGCCTTCACTTCGAACTACTTCATCCACCCAATTATGATGTGGCTCCCCTCTCTCATCATCTTCAATATGTGTGTCAGGCTCATAGTTATCCAAGGTGACATGTACAATCTGCATTCACAAGAAAATATTTGCAATGCTCAATATTAATGAGAGAGTGGTGTTGCTGGCTTTCCTTGATATTTGATAATGAAAGGACTAGCTCAACAACTGACACATTTAATAACCCCAAAAAATTCATATAAACTAACACTAATTTCATTGAGACATTTGAAGAATGAAACTGGAAAGAACTAACCTCGTCAAAATCAACAAAAATATATGAAAATTTTGCCATGAATTGCACCTGGCAAGGTAGAAACCATAAAATTAACATTGTTCCAACTGAAAATAAAACAGTCCTTAAGAGTTTCAAGCATTCAAATCATAAACTACCATGGCAGAAAGGCGCTGCAAGCTCGATGCTCTCAGCATGATCTTCACCACTTTCACGAGCAAGCTTACATACTCTATGAACCAAACTCTCAATGGTATGCGTGTAAGTGCCATCTGTCTGTTTCAAAGATTGGGTCAATAACCAAGAAAAGAGTTTTGAAAAAAATAAAGTAATCAAAGAATTTACTTTGTATAGAAAGTAGAACAAATCGTCCACATCTGACTCATCCATTTACAGAATAAGATGTGCCACAAGTAGCATCAACCATTATAAATAGGAATTCATTATCTGCCTAAAGATTTGTGACATTAAAACACTAATTAGGCAGATCAAATAACTCTCATTCTGCTCAGTGTATGCCAATAGCTTTTTTTCAAGAGAAGGTAACTTGTGAATCACCTGACTATAGATGAACCTCGTTAGGGTTTGGCATCCAAGTATGCGCAGAGGATCTTGCTTAGGGTTGTCCAGGAGCTCAGTAACCACACACAGCAGACTGACTGCAAAATATGCCCTGAAAGATGCAAAACATATTCAATACAACACAAGAATTTTATGCAAAAATTAATTCCTTCTTTTTAACAACTTTAAAGACACTGCAGTGAAAAGAAAAGGAAGAGAGACAGAGAAGAAAATTTGAAGGACACAAAACAAACAATAATAAACCGAACTTTCTACTAAAATAGCATATATACAATACCAAAGCATCTCCTAAAATAGCACAAGTTCAATGCATAAGAATATAAATGGTTCGTTGCCAAAATAAAATAGCACACAACTTCCACCTAAAAGTGGAATTGTGACTTGAATTTGGAATTTCCCAGCCAATCATACAAAAGCCATACCTAAACAACAGTAGTTTCGTCCAGAGATTAAGATTAAACAAATCTTTTCTCCACTAAAAATTAGACCCATCTGTTCAGCATCTAGAATTCCTCTACAATCAGAAAGCATGCATTGGGCACGTGATTGATGGGCTTATGTACTTGGAACTCAGTATGTCTAATTACACAGAAGAAATTTCCATATATGCAAGCCAAATCAGAAACTAAAGCCAATACTCACAGAATATCGTGGAGCAATATCTTGATGGTTTGAATATAGACCAGATTGTGAGAATGCATAGTTCCCTATTTAAGCAAGAGAAACAAAAACCAGTTAGCTAAAAGATAGAAAATAATAAAATGAACAAAAGAACTATTAAGCAACTGTATAAAGCTTCCAAAAGAAGGAAGAGGAACATATATTTATTTTTCTCATTCCATGTACTGCAAGAATCATACCTGACTGCATGCCATACATAGAAACAACATTACAGGAGAATTAATATGGCTCAACTGAGTGAGGAAGAAAGCAGGTTCAAGAAACCCCCCTCCTTTTAGTCTCAACACATTAGCTCCAGCTTCAGCAAAACTCAGTAGCAATTCATGTATCACCTCCTGAAAGGGGGAAAAAAACGATTAAGCTCTTTCCCAAGACCCCAAAGTAAAGCCTCAATTCACTTCTCTAACCCAGATACAAATTAACACAAACCCTAATACCCAATTCACCAAATTGCCTAAAGATTTCAAATTTCGAGTAAGAAAGAACCCATATCAGAAACTCAATTGAAAATCAAAATAAAATTTGAAAGGTGTTTCAGCTAATACAAGAGAGGGCAAGAGAGAGAGAGATGGAGGAAGACCAGTGGTCGTCGTCGCCGGAGAGGAGGAGTGGTCGTCGTCGCCGGTGGTTTGTGGATGAGAGCGCAGCTAGTGTAGATGAAGCGTTGGGTTTTGTTCTTGGGCTAGTGTAGATGACGATGAAGCATTTGACTTACGTTGAATGAAGTGTTAGGTTTTGTTTTGTTTTTATTTTTATTTTTTAATTTTGGGCCATAAGTGACGCTTTCAATCCTCACTTTCATGCTCTGTGACGAATGTGCATTATTCGTCACATTTAGTAAAAAATTGGGCGCAAAGATTTCCCGCTATGTAATTTGTGACGACACCGAAATTATAATGTGACGAAGATGGAGCGAAAATTTTGTTTGGTCCTTTCAAGACGTTTAGGTGACGACTTGCAAAATTTCTCACTTATACAAGCCAAGGTGACGAAATTTTCAGCGTCACGTAAAATTTGGTCACAGAAGCCCTGTTTTCTTGTAGTTTCTAATCTCAAAAATTCAACACCAACTTTTTCATTCCATCCACATTCCATAGCGTCAGTCTTTCAAGGTACTCCATTTCCCAAGAGGCCAAAATTCACACTGTGTCCCCCAACAAGAGTAAGGAATCTCAAATTTTTAAAGATTGAATCCAATTGGACCACGTGGTGCCATTATGATACAAATCTTAAAGATTCCAAATCTGGGTGCGGTCGCAAGGCATTCAGTATTTCTACTAGGGGTGGTTGCGGTTCGGTAACCGCGAATTTTACTCAAACCGCAAACCGACCGACTATTTGCGGTTTGATGATTTTTGAAACCGCAAACCGACCGCGTTTTGCGGTTTAAACCGCAAGTTCTCAAGCATTCACAAAAATATAAATTCACAACCTAAATAAATAAATACACAACCTCAATTTCTCAAACATATATAAATTCACAATCTCCTCAACTTCTCAAGCATTCACAACCTAAGAAAATTAAAGTTACAATTCCAAGCATTCCAATTAAGGTTAAACTTCTCAAGCATTCCAATTCCAAATCTTTAAAGTTACAAACCAAAGGAAAATGCAAAGCAAATGAATTGAAGTTACAACCAAAAAGAAAAATCCAATTCAAAGTTAATTAAAGTTACAAACTAAAAGGAAATGCAAGGCACCAATGTTACAACTTAAGTGTTGGTGGTGAGTGGATTTGAAGAACCTCGTTGTGTTGTTTGAGCACCAATGTTATTTACAAATAAAACAAAATAGTTTAGTACATTTTATTATAAGAAGAATCATAAATAACATTAGCATAAATAAACTAATTACTTACAAGTTGTCATATGTTCCATTTCCTTGTAGAATTCAACTTCATCATCCGTGCAGCTATAATTTGAGGTTTGCGGTAACTGCAAGTTTTGAAAATCAAATACCGCAACCGCAAATGCGGTTCGGTTCTTAATACCACAAATGCGGTTCGGTTTACCGTGATTGCGGTTTCATTGCGGTAAATTGTCGGTTGGTTTTTGCGGTTTTTCGGTTTAAAATGCCACCCCCAAATAAATAGCGAAATGAAATAGCTTTTTGTCCCACAATTGTGCTTTCTCAACCTCGCTCTTATCTATCTTATCCCCATAAGTTGTATTCCAGACTTCCCTCAAGGTTCAACTTTCTCAGATCCCCAATTTGGAATGCTTCATCATTGTCGCCACCAACACCGACACACATCTAGTGTTTGTAAACTTGTTAATCTCCCTATTCCTTTTGGCAACGACTTCAGATTATTATACGACTCAACATAAAGATGCTTTAAGTTAATCAAGTTTCCCATGTTTTCAGGCAGTTTTTTAAGTTCAGAGCACTTCACAAAGCGCAAGGTAGACAAATTGTACAAACCACAAATAGTGTCAGGTAATGTCTCCAGTATACGACTGTAAGACAAATCAATATGCCTCAAATGTATCAATTCACCAATCTCCTCTGGGAGTTCTTTGATGGAATTACCACTCAATTTTAATGTCCTAAGACATTTCAATTGTAAAATTAAATTTGAGTCTATGGTAGTTTGAATCAAGAGATGCGAGCATGCGGAGATTTTTGCAATTGTAAGATGAGATGAAAAGTGGAAGCCTTCAGGAACATCTCTCAATGTCAAATGACGAACCTTATCAACCAATACCTTGATTCGCCGGTAGTTTCCTCACCATGATCGATAATCAAACACTCATTCTTGGTGAGAAATTGTACAAAGTCATGCATTTGCAACATGTAATTGTACTAGTGTCGGGATCTTCTCAAAATCTTGGAAAAAATGACCGTGCCACTAAGTTGTCAAAAACTACATCACCCGTTGTTCCCTTTTGTTTATTCCGTTTCAAAAAAACATAGTCTTGTGCCATCCAAAGTTCAATCAAATCATCTCGTGACTCGTGTGAGGCTAACGGATAACACCTAGGATGCTGCCTTCTTGACCTTCATTTACTTAAGGGAGTTTCTTTGAGCCAAAATTCTAAAATACATCACTTGTTGGACGGTTAGATTTGAATTATTTGATCCAATGGTCCAGAATAAATTGGGAAAAAAAACAAAAAAAGCACCTAAAAAACTGGGAAACCGATAGTTGTCCGGCGAACGCGATCTGCCCCAAACCATATTTGAATATTTCATTAGACTACAAGCTGGAAATAAGCATGGATATTTACTCAAGGGAGTTTCTTTTAGAGCCACTTGTTGAACTATACGTAATTTAGGAGGCCTTTCATTGATGGATAATTGAGTTGAAATTTAATTATATACCCAATCTTAGATATAGTCTTATAAAGAAATATCATATCATTTAAAAATTATGAACACACCCAAAAATCGATAGTTGTATATATTTTTAATTTAATTAACAATATGAAATACCTTTATTACCCTTTTAACATAAACTTGGAATTATAATCCCTTTATTTGGCGTTGAAGCCAATTCAGAATTCATTTCATGAGTTCCAGTCTCTCATCTTCATCTTCAACCCCAAATTTCAGTTTATGTTCTTCCATTTCTTGTTTTGAAATCACCTTTCTCTTTGGACTTTTTGGATTGTGCGGATGTCTATGTCTCCTCTCCATTGTTGGCTCTAACACTTTTTCAAGGGAACAAGCCTTAACTCGCCAAATCAGATCATCTCAATCTTTCCAAGTTCGTTCTCATAAACTTTTCTCTTCATCTTTTTGTTTTTACTTGTAGATTTGTGGATGAAGGTATGAGATTGAGATTATGGTGGCATTTTACAGTGATATCAAAGAAACCTCGATCTCGATCTCGATTTAGACAAGTTGTCTCGGTCGAAACGACAGTCGAGGACCTTGCCGGTTGTTCCAAAGTACTGCACAACTCCAACGACTCGTCGTCTTCAATTGTGGAGGAAGACAAGGATTTCGCTGCGTAATTGTTTTCGTTGTTTGGTTTGGACTTGAGATTTTGATCTTTTGCTTCAGTGATCTGTTTCTCTTCGGATTTTAGTTGATTTGAGGAGTGTATTTTAAGCTTTGATGATCGATTTATCTTTTGTTACTATTTACATTATGGATCTCATTTTGTTTAACAATATACTTCTATGATAGAGTATTAATAAATAGTTCTATAACAGAGTATTAACAATATACTTCTATGATAGATATTAACATGTACTTCTATGACATAGTAATATTAACAATGTACTTTTATGACATACTATTAACAATGTAATTCTACGAAGAGCCCTGCTTGGTTTTCAATTTTTTTTTAAAGTAAATTGTTTGGGTTTTAAAAAAAAAAATATGAGCTGGGCATGTTTTGGGTTTTATTTTATTTTTAATTTTTTTATGTTGGGCTTTTTTAAAGTTAATTAGTGGCACTCATGTAATTATAAGAACTTCAACACCCTTTCTTATGTAGTAAATAGATTTTGGGTGTGTTTCTAAAGTGCATTACATGTGAGGTTTTTTTGTAATAATCTCAGCCCATATTTTGAGTATAATAGTGAAGCTCCCAAATTGTTATTATTCTTGTTCATAATAGCTTTCTATGCTATTTTAAGTTAAAAATGAAATATATCAAGGAACAACATAAATATAACTTTTTGGGAAGAAAATAACCTTTTGGGAATTGAAAGGTAGATGGTCACATACCTGTTCTTTCTTCTGCATGTCTGCAGATCGGATTTCATGTCGAGTTTACCTGGTACATTCAATCTTCTTTTTCCAAGTGTACGTGCTCAAACTTATGTACCTCTCTGCAGGCAAATGGAATTGCCGTTTGTAAGGCTGCTCTTGGAAGGATTTGCTTTGCAATAATGGTTCTTTATTGAATTTGAGCTTTTATGCCAAACCCAGAGTAGATCAGTAGGCATCATATGTGAATGTTTCCTTGAAGATTTATGATGCATTTCTTATGATTCACTGGTCCCGTATGGAATTTTAATTATGTGTCAATATTTTTTCCTTCAAACTTAGTGAAGTGTGTAATTTTTGTTTTGTTTTTTGCTTTTGTCCTTTTTCCCTCAAACATTGAGGAGATGGAAATCCTGAATCATTAGGAACTCAAAAAAGCCAATAATTCATTGGGCAATTTCCAAGCACAAAATTGGGACCAATGCTGCAGGAAAGGAGAAAAAGGATATTGGACCAAAGGCTTGTTGCACTGAGTTCCATATCCAAGAGACTAATGGGCCCCGTGAAGTATATTTAGAGGAAAGAAAAGAAACCTCATTAAGGGAAGACATTTCAATTGACAAAAAAAACTGAAATCAGTTACCAAACAACTTATTTTCAGTTCACCTTTCACTTTTTATCTATATATATATAAAGCAAAAGGCAGAGAATAGTAAAACTTTCAAAATACCACAAAATGCCCAATGCAAACATTAAAAATTGAAATTATTAATTAAATGAGGATAATATGGTAAATTCACACTTTTTCATATTAAAAAATTAAAATGAAAAGAAAAATCAGATAATGGATCATATTTTTATGAAACACAACTACTCCTTATCTTTTTTTAATTCTAAAATAAATTTAAATTTTAAAAAAAAATGCCTCTCGCAAGCGCGAAAACGCATGCAGAGAGGCTAGTGAAAACTGAAATTAATACCAAACAAGTTTTCAGTTTCTAGTTTTTAACAAATGAGAACTGAAAATTAAAAATTGAAATGGTTACCAAAATGGCCCTAAACATTTCAAACTTAGTTATATCCATTTGATTTTGAAGGTCCATTAACTTAATTTAAAGTATAGTGTTACAAGTTGCAATAAGTTGTATACACTGGCCTTGGTTGCTTGCATTTGCTCTGCATCCTCAAACGCCAGCAGCTTGAATAGCTTTGAGATTGCCAACGAATTGTTCAACTTGTTTCTTCAAATTCAAAACAACTTACCTCTTCTTCTATGAATTAGTTATTGAAGGCAAGGTTAACGATATTAACGACTTTTCTAGCTTAAGAACACACACCAAATCAAAGTTACTGAAGGCAAACAAAACACACCTTCTAGAAGAACAGAAAAACTGGGAACTGATACACAATAAAATAAGAGAAAGCCAAGGTAAATTCACCAGTCCTCGGAGTGCATCTTACGAATTAATGACAAAAAGGAAGTTTTGCAAATGATCAATACACCAGTAGATTAGTTATATATACAGTCGATGTTGCCTGTCCCTTAAAAATAAGGTGTTCACGAAGTTTCTGCTTACAAAACAAAAAATAAGGGTACTCATAATGTTTGTAAATCAAAAGCTCAATAGACCTTCGAAATTCATCATGTCTCTGTCAACTTCTCAAGGCTGACTTTTGATGAAAATTATCAACATTTCAGTAATTGGAACTTCCGTAGGCTGACTTTGATGGTTTACACTACTCCGTTCGCTTCCATAGAGTCCCTGAAATGATGAACAGTATTATAATGAAGGAAAGAGTAGAAACTGCTTGTCCAGTTATAGAGAGAGCCTCACACTTTTAGGCTCCCAAAAATGTACTTGGTATTCTTTCAAGTATCTAAAACAACGACTGTTACTTGGGTATTATAATTCCTTACACATACATAGTCGATCAATTTGCTTATTGCAATAATTTCTCTTAGACATTTTTCAGGAATTAATTTTTTTGAAACAACTAAAGCATGCAGATTAAACAAAACAAGAAACCTCGTGTGGCATAATAAGTAAATGAATTTATTAATACTAGCTAATTGAAAATTAACTCCAGAGATTTAACAAAACAAACATCAAAGCACCTTTTTTTTCGGCGATAAATGGGGGCCCAAGCCCAGTAACGAAAGGAATTCAACAGAAATTAATCAATCTAGACCTACTAAAGTAGGTAGTTCCTCAGAGTATATTTTACGAATTAATGACACAAAGAAAGTTTTGCAAATCATCAATACAACAGTAGATTAGTTATATATACCTTAAAAATAAGGTGTTCACAAAATTTATGATGATAGTTGGGATTGATACATAAGTATGTAAATAATTAAGAGATTGCTAGAGCTCAATTACCTGATAATGCGGATGTTTGGGTTCGTAGCAGAAATCTTGGCCCACTCTCCATTGCCTTCTTGGTAACGCTCTAAAAGTCTCTCAGATCGAAGGATGCGAAGAGTCTGCAGTGGTGTTTTGAAGACGAAGTCTGGCAGTGCTTTTAGTAAAGGGCAATCTGTAATTGTTAACTGAGAAAGGCATGGCATGATTGTAATTTCAGAATCCTCTTTCGTCCACTCTTCCACGCCTTCCCACTCTTCCCAATTCAACATGAGGCCAAACCAGAGTCGTTTCAATTTTGGGAATAATATTTGGGGTGATCTGATTCTGAATGAGGTTTGATCTTCTAATCCCAAAAATTCAACACCGACCTTTCTCACTCTATTCATCCCGTCTAGGTTCAGTCTTTCAAGGGACTCCAATTTCCCAAGAGGCCAAAGTTCACACGCTGTCCCGTTAGAAAGAGTGAGGAATCTCAAATTGTGTAAAGACTGAATCCAATTGGGCCACGTGGTGCCATTATGATACCAAATGCATAAATATTCCAAATCTGGGTGCGGTCGTAAGGCATTCAGTATTTCTACAATACTACTGGTCGTCTGCCCTTCAAAATCAACGGTGAGACGAAATAGCTTTTTGTCCCACAATTGTGCTTTCTCAACCTTGCACTTATCTGTCGCATCCCCCACAAGTTGTATTTCCAGACTTCCCTCAATATTCAACTTTCTCAGGTCCGCAATTTGGAATGCTTCGTCGTTGTTGCCATCACACCGACACACATCTAGTGTTCGCAAACTTGTTAATCTCCTATCCCTCTGGGCAACGACTGTAGAGACATACAACTGGAAACATACAGATGCTTTAAGTTAATCAAGTTTCCCATGTTTTCTGGCAGTTTTTCAAGTCCAATGCAACCAGAGAGGCGCAAGGTAGACAAATTGTACAAACCACAAATAGTGTCTGGTAATTTCTCCAAATCATAATTGAAAGACAAATCAATATGCCTCAAATGTATCAATTCACCAATCTCCTCTGGGAGTTCTTTAATGGAATTACCACTCAAATTTAATGTCCTAAGACATTTCAATTGTAAAATTAAATTTGAGTCTATGGTAGTAATTATTGAATCAAAAGTTGCGAGCGTGCGAAGATTTTTGCAATTGTAAGATGAGATAAAAAGTGGAAGTGGACCTTCAGGAACATATCTCAAGGTCAAATGACGAAGCTTATCACCCAATACATTTGATTCGCTTGTAGTTTCCCCACCATAATCGATAATCAAACACTCATTCTTTGTGAGAAATTGTACAAAGTCATGCACAATATCATGCATTTTGCAACCTGTAATGGTACCAGTGTCAAGATCTTTCTCAAAATCTTGGAAAAATGACCGGGCCACTAAGTTGTCAAAAACTGCATCATCCGTTATTCCCTTTTTTTATTCCCTTTCGAAATAACATAGTTTTGTGCCATCCAAAATTTAATCAAATCATCTCGTTTAAACTCGTAATCTTTTGGAAAAGTAGCACAATATAAAAGGCAACATTTAATTGTTGGGGCCAAATCATTATAGCTGAGGAATAGGGGTTGGAAAACTTCTTGCTCGACCTTCTCTAGATCCCATATCTTACTATTCAAAACTTCTTTCCATTCTCCCATTTTTGTCTTATTCTGCATGAGACTACCTAAAGTCTTTGCAGCAAGAGGCAAACCTTTACACTTCTTTACAATTTCCTTACTAATATCTCCAAACTCGTCTACATCCCTATCCGAAAAGGCCATGTAATTGAAGATTGACAAACAATATTCATCACTCAACTCTCCCAGATTGATTATGTTCCTTGTTGCTCTCATCATATTAGCAACCTCTAGTTTTCTTGTGGTCACCAATATTCTGCTGCCTTTAGCACCGCTTTGGATTAATGGTACCTTTAATTGTTCCCACTTTTTAGGATCATCGGTCCATACATCATCTAGGACAAGGAGAAACCTTTTTCCCCTGGATGGATTCAGACATACATTGCAAGACCTCATCCAAATCAATTGAATTTGGGGCGTCTTTACCAATAATGGCTTTGGCAATCTTAATCTCATCAAAAGGGTCTGAAACACAAACCCATTTCCTCATATCAAAATGGGGTTTGACTCGGTCATCATTATAAGCTAGTTGGGTCAAAGTTGTTTTTCCCATGCCTCCCATCCCTACAATAGGGATGACAAGGAGCCCCTTTTCTTCTTCACTACTATCACCCAACAACTTTGTTATCAAAATGTTATGTTCCGTTTCACGACCAAATATCTCAGACATATTGACATAAGATGCAGTTTGAGGTCGTTGAGGTTGTTGAGGTTGTTGAATGCCTAATTCTTTGCGCAGAAACTGGTACTTTTTTCTTTCCTCATAAATCTCAGTTAACTTATCATTCAGATCTTTTATTTTCAGAGCAATGTCACGGCGAAGAATCACCCGACTGACTTTGCCAAAACAAAAGCAACGGGAGAAACTAGAGAAACGTACCTTCTTCTTTGTAACAAGAGCATTTGGATCACCTTCTCCTTCTTGCTTCTCAACTTGCTGTTTGAGAATGTCTGTGTTCCACTCATCCAGCACATCCACCATCTGGTAGGATATATCTTTCAGCTTATCCAACCATATTTTGACACTTGCCTCCGTCACTTGCCTTTGCTCTGCATCCTCAAGCACGGCTCGAATAACTTCTAGAGTCCCAGTGAATTTGTCAACATCTTCCTTCACGTTCAAAACAAGTTTCACCCCTTCTCCTATGTATTCATAGGTTGCAGAGGCCAAGCGATCTAGCAGCATGGAAATGAGCCCATCAGCCATTTTGAGCTTCAGAAAATGGAAAAAGGAGATAGGAAAGTGATATCAAGAAGAAAGAAATGATGGATATGGTGTAGTGCTATGATTGCAGGTCTTCTATATCCAGTTCATATAGAGAGTAAGTGGTCAAAATCTGAGTCAAAACAATAACCTCGAAGCCAATTATTTAATTTCAAACTCCACGCACCCTCTCCCGTTTGATGGATTTTCTACTTGCGTTAAAGTTGGCTTTGTCTAAGCGTGGGGAGGAGGAACCGAGAAAAATAGTTAAGTAATTCTGGTACAATTAGAAATAGATTTATAACTAAGTAATTTTGGGCTGTTGGGTGACCAGTACACGTGCGTACCCCATTACCCAAGGGATTAAAATAATTTGATGGACAAAATAATGTCGAAATATGTGTTTGCTTTTTCTTTTTTAATATAAAAATCTGATTTGAAACAAAGTAAAATATAAAAAAGCTCATTTAGCTGTATTTTTAGTATAATTGGTAAAGCCCATGTGACTCGTGAGGTAGGAGTCATGTGACTCATGTGAGGCTAACGGATAAGACTGGCTAAAACAAGGATGCTACCTTTCTTTACTCAAGGGAGTTTCTTTTAGAGCCACTTGTTCAACTATATGTCATTTAGGAGGCCCTTCATTGATGGATAATTGTGTTGAAATTTAATTATATACCCTATCTTAGATATAGTCTTATAAAGAAATATCATATCATTTAAAAATTATGAACCCACTCAAAAAAACCCAAAAATCGATAATTGTATATATTTTTAATTTAATTAACAATATGAAATACATTTATTACCCTTTTAACATAAACTTGGAATTATAATCCCTTTATTTGGCGTTGAAGCCAATTCAAAATTCATTTCATGAGTTCCAGTCTCTCATCTTCATCTTCAACCCCAATTTTCAGTTTCTGTTCTTCCATTTCTTGTTTTGAAATCATCTTTCTCTTTGGACTTTTTGGATTGTGCGAATGTCTATGTCTCCTCTCCACAGCTGGCTCTAACCCTTTTTCAAGGGAACAAGCCTTAGCTCGCCAAATCGGATCATCTCAATCTTTCCAAGTTCGTTCTCATATACTTTTTTCTTCATCTTATGTTTTTGCTTGTAGATTTGTGGATGAACGTATGAGATTGAGATTATGGTGGCATTTTACAGTGATATCAAAGGAACCTTGATCTCGATCTCGATCTAGACAAGTCATCTCGGTCGAAAAGGCAATCGAGGACCTTGTCGGTTGTTCCAGAGTATTGTACAATGCCAGCGACTCGTCGTCTTCAATTGTGGAGGAGGACGAGGATTTCGCTGCGTAATCGTTTTCGTTGTTTGGTTTGGACTTGAGATTTTTGATCTTTTGCTTCAATGATGTGTTTCTCTTCGGATTTTAGTTGATTTGAGGAGTGTATTTTAAGCTTTGATGATCGATTTATCTTTGTTACTATTTACGTTATGGATCTCATTTTTGTTTAACAATGTACTTGTATGATAGAGTATTAATAAAATAGTTCTATGACAGAGTATTAACAATATATTTCTATGACAGAGTAT